TTGCGGTTGTGCTCATTGGTCCACATACATCCGTGTGTATAAGACCTAATAATTCACTAGCCCTTTCTCCCAACTTAGAGAATGGTTATTTTATCATCTTGCCAAGTAAGCATCCTTCGCAATTTTCAAACGACTCTAAGTCGATTGAATCAAGAATCCCTTCACGAAGTTTCTTGATGCGTTTGATGTTTATGTGGCCAAGAAGAAAAAGCCACAAGTAGGTTTGATTCGACTAGGTGGTCCTAGCTCTTTTGGTGGTATCATTAACATTATAAACCTGTTTGTCTAGTCACATTTGAAAATGTGAAATCCCATAAAACATAAGCAAGACATTCAAAACAACCATTGTTATAGTCTTGTGATCAAAACAACCCGGCGTCCAACGCCAAAGATCAAAATATGTTCTATGGTAAGAAAAACATAATAAAACGAGAATTAGTTCTATTACAAAACAAAAGAAAAATATTGTGCCTACAAACACGGCAGAAGAACCATCTTCATCGTTCGGTTGTAGTCGCACATTCACTTGTGAAGCCTCTCACTTGGTCCCTGAAATAGGAGCATAAAGTGAGTCATACATGGTATCCAATACCTATGAATTTATTATACACAAGTGTTAATGAAGATAACTGAGCTAGATGGAACATTCCTCTTTTCCTCATCTTCTCGGAAGATCTTGCATTCCCCCTTGTAGTGGCCTTGCCCACCACAATAGAAGCATCGAATCTTCGCTTTGTTCTTGAACTCCTTCTTCTTTACTCTCAAGGGAATCTTGGTTTCTCTATAGGAGTAGGCTTGCGAAGCACTTGTACCACCTCTTTTAATGAGTGTGACTTCTTCCCAGCAGCTATATGCATCCTAAGTGCGTCATAGCCAAAGTTGAGTGACCCTTGATACTTGGTAACTAGCATGACCCTTGATACTTCAATCTTCAAATCTTCAAGGGCCTTCATTGCATCTTCTTGGCTTCGTCTTCTTAAAAACGTCATCTTTGAGACATCACCACCAATTATGCAACTACTAGAAAAGCTAGGACTAACCTAAATAATTTAAGTACAAAAATACTTAACGACACGCAGTCCGTATTTAGATTTACAAAAATATAAAACGAAAACAGTCCGTATTTACTATCCTAGTTGGGCCCCACTAGTTGACATTTTGTAAAACCTGCTTTAGAATATCTATTACATTCATCCATTCACTTCTAAAGTGAATGTCCCATGTATTTTACAAATAATTCAAGCAACAATTCCAAACGAGCGCAAACTAGTAACTAACTTAGGTGGTTAATCCAATTAACGCGCCAAATTAAAACTAATCAAAGTAATTAACGCAATAATAATAGCTCAAAACGATTAATAAAGCTCCCACTAAATTCCACATCAAACTTAATTAAAATTAATCCAATTATAATTAATTAAGCCGCTTAACCAAAAATTTTGCCAAATAATTTTGCAAGTGCAGGAAAAACCAACGCCTAGCCTTGTTTTAATTACAAAAACACAAAATTGCAAAAACCGATGCCAAGTGCCTAGCCCCGAGCCAAAAGGCCTAGGGAATTGGCTAGGCACCAAGCATGGTGCGCAAGTCCGGCCACACGCACGTGGCCTACGCAACAAGGCTGCCTTGGCACGTGCCACTGCTAGCCACAGCAACTGCCCAGCAGCTTCGAGCCATGCGGCATGGTGCGAGTGCTCGCACTCCAGCCTAGCAGCACTTGCTAGGTGCTCCCGTGGGCGTCCTAGCAGCGTCCACTTCTGGCTGTGTGGCGCTCAGTCACCCGGCCAACCCGCTAGCCCTTTCCGCACACTCATGCTCGCAGCCACACGCATCTACACGCCCCCACTCCCTCGGCATCAACATGCGAGCAACCCTGCTAGCCGAGGGTGGTGCTCGAGGCTTGGGGCCTCGTTTCACATGCTCATCCATCGGAATATCATTCCTATTTTTTGTGTGTGACTTTAAAATTAATGCTAAATTGATTTTAAAACTAACATTGAGCAATATTGAAAATAAAACAAGTTCAACTTAATTAAATTCAATTTTATTAATTTAAGAACCATTCCTTAAATTATTTATAGCTCAACTTGATGCTACAAAAATTGAGGGCTATTCTCACAATTAATTTAACCAACATAAATTAATAATGAGATTTCACCAAATAGTTGAATAAAAAATCAATCATCCAATGACATAATTTATCAAATATTTACGTATGCACATTTTAATATAATAACCTTCCAATATGAAGAACAATAATATTTCAAGCACAAGTATGAACATTTAAGATTTTAATAAACTTCCAAAATGATTATTACCAAAATTAGTTCAATAAGGATTTTAACAAGTTAAGATTCACCCATTTAAACCATTAAAGATTGAATCTTTAACATTTTAGGGGTTTCAAAAATCATATCACCATAAATTTTTACACTACAAGCAATTTATTTGCAAGAATGTGAAATTTCAAGTTAGTGAAATTATGAGCTCACCAAATTAAGCAACCAATATGACTTCATAAACATGCTTAATAAGGTGTAAAATTGCAGAAGATTAATGGTATAATCAAACACATAATCCAACAATTGCATGCCAAAATTAATCAAGGTTTAAAGATTTAAAAAATTTCGTTCCAAACGAAAAACCACTTTCTGGGTGGATTTTGGCTTCTGGAATATCATTTTTAAACACTTTGTGGGTAAAGAATGATTTAGGACATCATTTCCACCCAAAATTCACTATTTTTAAGTGGAAATCGGGTTCGTAGGCCAAAAATAGCATAAGTATGATTATAATCTAATTAAAAACGAGGTCCTAATCTAATTAGGATAATAAACCAGAAATTTAAATGCATTTAAATCACCTTCGTTAATTTTTAGTTGTAAAAATTAAATGCAAGAGGCTCTTATACCGCTGTAGGGTTTTGCGGTGTCTGACAACACGCGAAATCAAAACCCGATAACCGGATCGCGTGCATAATAATTACAACATAAATAAAAGCATGCAAATAAACAAAAACACAAACACATAAAGAGAAGAGAGAGAAAGAAGCTCACCCTAGACGCGTGCTTCGCTCCCTCAACGAGCTCGAACTTGGAAAGCTTTAAGCTCCACAAGTGCGAAACCTCCGACAGCTCACACCCTCGCTCACCGAACCAGAACCGGCCCCTACCCCATAGCTTAGACGAGGTTAGACCAAAAGTAATTTAGAGTTTATGAACTAAGGTTTTCTCACTTTTGGAGGTCCCTTAGAGTTCACCAACTCAAGTGAAAATCCCAATACCCAATGATTGGTATTTATAGGGAATTGTTCCCAAGAATTCCCATCATCTTTCAATGTGGGATAGTTGGTAAAATGCCAAAAGAAAGAATTAATTTAATTCTACTAAATTTAAATGGCAAAACAATCATCAAACAACAAGTAGCACTAGGGGAGCTAGGGATTAGGTGAGGACCACAAAGGGAAGGACCACCTTCCCTTACTACCTAAGCAAAATCCTTCCAACAAATCGGCCCACTAGCATGCAGCCAGCTGGCGGGCTGCCTTTGCCACTAAGGATGTCGCGCTAGCGCCTGGTGCCTTGGCTGGGCCTGCCTTGCTAGCCCATGTCGCGCTAGCCCGCATAAGCATCCTTCGCTAGTCTGCACAAGCTATTGTGCAATGCGGGGCTGCTGCTGCTCTTGTTGGGCAAGCACCCCGGGCTAACTAGCACCAGCAATAACGAGCAAGGCCTAGCGCGCTAGCATGAGGCTGGCATTGCTAGCACTGCTAGCATGCGAGCTCGGCTAGAAAGCTCCAGCCAGCACCCGCATAGGCTGCTGGGCTTGCGGCCTTGCTAACGTTTAGGCTAGCAGCCCTATAAAGCCTAGCCCTCGCTTGGCTAGGCCAGTGTGAGGCAAAGTCTATGTATTGACTTGTTGTTTGACTTTATTTCTCGTCTCGTCGATTCCTTAATTCGACTAAACGTTTGACGCTCTAAGCTCGGAATCTGACGTCTTAGTTCGTAAAATCTTTATCGACTCATTTAATCCTTCGGATTAATTCGCTTTGGTTCGGTTACACGATTGGGTGTGGCCCGATGGGTTCAGTCAAGAGCAAGTTGTAATATTAATTATACATTAATATTACTGATCGGAAGCCGCCTCTGGCTAGACATTCCGATCACTTGACCTCAGTGAATAATTATCTTTCCTTATTAATTCCGAATCCTCTATCAGAATAATACACTTGTTCGAAGGACGCTATGACCCTCTTATAGCTTATACCAAAGTACTTGTAGTCATTAGAGATTTGACTCAAGCTATCCTCCATACGCTTGATTGTTTCAATTGGTATTTGCTTGTTAGGGTCTTCGACTCGGATGGTAAGTCCCTTAAGCATATAAGCAAGTCCATTTACAATTTCTTGAAGTTTCTCAAATCTTCTTGACTAGCTTCCATTCTTATCTTTCTTTTTTTTTCGAACTGGTCTATCGAATAGGAGTACTTGTATTAAGGTGTTGTCCTTGATTAAACGCCCTTATCTCCTTAACCAAGTGGTGTAAAACTAAACCATTGACTCTTTTATTGACTTGACTCAAATTGACTCGTAATTTTATTGGGTTGAAAAAAAAACAAAAAATGGGTGCATATTTTGGGAATCAAGTATGGGGATCAAATTAAGTTTTCAATCAACATGGTTTATGTTGGGAGGATAATATCCGACTTACCCCCCTAAAAAAATAACGGAAAAATGCACACAAGACCCTAGTGTGTGCTAAGACTCGTGAGTGAAAGTTATATGTTCAAGACTAGTGTAATGACCATGGGACTAAATATGTGATTAGACTCAAGCCAAGACTAAGTTAAGACCTCGTTTATATATTAAATCGGCTAATTATGAAATATACCCGGCTAATTGTGAACTATCGCGGAACGCTGTATCCATCGCGGTGTGACAAGACTGCCACGGTTCGATGGTCCTGGTGTTCTGCGGCACAGACCAAATTTTTGTACCAATAATGGAACGTCAATCTAGTATGTTTAGACTTCATAGGTTCAAATTAGTTAACCAATTTAATTAAGCAAAGTCCTATTTAATCCTTGGTTAGTTTATTAAGACTTTATTTACAAGAAACAAGTCAACATAAAGTGTTAGTTTAATCACAAGTAAGGTATGCACAAGTAAAAGATGCACAAATAGTCAAGTAGTCACAATATGATGCAATGAGTTGCAACCTAACCATAGCTCTAGTTCTCTAAGGTCACGGATTATGGTGTCCAAAAGGGTCCATGGTTATGAGTCCTGATGCATCGCGCGAAAGCCTTACGTTAGAAGGGTTGGCACGATGGATGGGACCCCACAAGTTAAACTTGCTTCCATGGTTTGGTGAATCACAATCTCGGATGCACCCATTGTTGCAAGGAGCGTTCATGAGGGTGGATAGAGCGTGAATTCCCAAGGGCTAAGACCATATGTCGAACACATACATATGGATTCAGAAAAGTCGAAAAAACTCAATTAGGAAGTACTAGAACCAATCAAAACATGAAAGCTGAAAACTAGCGCAATGTCGTGAGAACTCAGCATGAGAAAACAGAGATTGTTGCGCAACGACAACTATATCGCGCCGCGATAATGCTGTCGTTTGGCGACGGTCGTTGTCATCTTGCCAAATTTCCAGCGCGTCGCGGCAATTTTGGAATTCGAAGTTTTTTCCGATTTTTCGTAGTGTTTATTCAATTTTAGTTGTGAAAGATATTTCCAGCTTTTCCTACGTGTAAAAATCCTATGTTTTTGACGAATTACGGATGGTCTTTCCAATGCGAACCTTTTTATGCTTATGCCACAATGTTAATCAATATTATGCATAATGAATATCTAGAATCTTTAAAGTCTCATCCACTCATTCTAAATCAATTGGAAAAATTAATTTTAAGAATCAAAATTAGAAATCCTCCCTAGTGGAGTCGCCAAAAAACTGTAGGGAATTTATCGAACTCAACTTTGAGCCCCACTGTGATCAGGCTTTTAGGCATGGTGGCGTCTAAAGGGAAGGAAGCTAGAGATAAAAGAGTTGCCAACAAGTTGTAGGAAGTTGTAAACCGTTCACGGGTGTGAAGGTTACACCCCATTCACGATCAAAGAGATCGCTAAATCCATAGTGGTCCGGAACCATGACTGGATGTTTAGGGATGATGGTACGAATCCAACCTAAAAGAGATTGAACCCACTCTAAATGGGTCTCTAATTAATTTTTATGATATTCATGTGTGCTTTTCGATCAACGTACATACATCAAATTAATCCTAAGCATATTTAATCTACGTTGGTTGATTATTAGCAAGATCCTGGGCATGATACTAAACTGGATTAAGAACAAATCCTAGCATATCTCTAATAATTAAGATCAAAGCTTTTTCCTAAACATGATACTAGGAATCAACATGATATTAGAAATATTAGTTAACACTCTAAGCATGATACTAGGAATCAAAATCAACATCCTAACATGATTTTTATATCAAAGGAATAATTAAGTAATCGAATTACTTACTTTGATGCCTCGTATCTCTTTCTATCAAAACAATACACACGTTAGCAAACTTCAAGAAAGATTAAATCAAACAAATCAAATAAAAATTTAAATATAGATTTGGGACCAAACCCTTAGAACTATCAACATTTCACGTCAAGGTCGAAGGCAACTTTGAGGTTGGCTAGGAGTAATCAAAGTTCGTGAAAGAGGCATGGTGTGTGTTTGAAGAGAATAACAAGGATGTGTGTTTGGGATGTGTTTAGGCTAGGCTCATAAATCAAGAAAAGAGAAGAGAGAGTTTTAGAGAGGGAATTGGATGATGATTGTTGGTGAATGAAAATGGGGTGAAACGACCTCTATTTAAAAGGAAAAAACAGAGTCTAAGGATCAAAAAAGAGTCAGAATCCGACTCAGAATAAAACGCTTCTCATCACAGCGCAAAAGTTTTGTCGCGACAAGCCTGTCGCAGCGCGCTGGTACTGTCGCTCAGCGATGGATTTGAATCCGTTCGGAATCCGATTTCCAATCGGATGGGGTTAACCAAATATCCATACGTGTTTTATTTTGACTGGGATTAGGATCATTAAAAAACAGATGTTTTATCCGATGTAAAATTCTTAAATCTTTATCTTTTCAAAAATAGGATAAATTAGAACTTTCTAGAGGATTCTAAAAGCTCATAATAAATCCTAATGGATTTAGGATTGAAAACAACCTTCTAGATGATTTTAGAAGCTTGTGACAAATCCTAATTAGTTTAGGAATGGGATTAAGGTTAATAAACCCTCCACATGATCATTGGGCCGCAAGTAAGGCTCAATTTAGTATTTTAGCCATAAATTATTTGTTATAAGTTAGATTTGGGCTTATAATATATCTTTGGAAAGCTCTTTTCAAACCGTATCCAACTACACAATAGTTGGACCGAGATCATGGACCAAAATAGACTGGTTTGGACGATTTTATAAATTAGACACGAAATGATTGGTTTTCAAAGACGCAAAATGAATGATTTTGGTCTAAAACATTTAAGTAAACGTTAGAAATTGTTAAGGCTTAAAAGAAATTCACGAGACTCTTCAACTCTTCACCTAACTCGGTAATCAAAGGCGTAAAAGGTACTCGTCACTGGGTTTGGTTTTTGGGGAGACACAACTAGGTGTCTACTATTCTATACTTCACTGAACTTTTGAGCTACTCAAGATCCATATTTGTGAAAACGTTGAAGTAATGAAATCCTCTTTAGCTTTCAGAGTCAATTGTCCATACCAAGCACAATAGCTCCTTTCTTTGTCGATTTCAATAAGTAAGACCTGCTAGCCTTAGAACGATTCTGAATCGATCAATTTTCAAGAGTCTATTTAATAGAACCTTGAGTATGTTCTTATTGATGTGACATTGCTAAAGATAATCGGAACACAAATCATGTCTATGACTTGAACCTTGTAAGTTTATATCAGGGAAATGTCTGTTTATAATCAAACATTCTTGACTCATTGTTTAAACAACCTTTCCCTTCAAGTAAAACCAACAACCATTGTTCTTTTACTTTGAATGTGAGTCTTTCCGTGTGTAAACAAAATGTATGCTGATTATGGAACACAATAGCCATATTTGTTCCAACCTTAGTTATAAAAGGTCTTTTAAACAAATCCAAATGACTTTACAGCTCATGTACCACCGCTTGCTTCATTCCAAGCTCGTAAGACAATACCTTAGCTTAACTTCAATGAGTTTGAGGTCACTTCAGAAGTGGAACACTCAAGCAGTATCTGATACTTGTGAAGCTAAGTTAACTACGATGACATGAACTCTTAGGTAGAATCGGAATCTTGAATCCCTTTTCTTTGTTCCTTGTTCCCTATATTTCTTATCATACATCATCTCATAACTTTAAGAATCACTTCTTTAAGTGTTTTGACTTTTGTACTTTGTTTTGGCATAATTAAGCATCTAATGCATCGTAAACAAAGTTCTTTTTCTTTAATTCGTACTTGAATCATTACATTAAGGAGTCCTACTCATTAGTGTATAAAACGAAAAGATATGTTGGTTGTCAAATATTGACAAAATGAGTCTTCAACTCAATACTTCATGTTTATCGAAACCATCTAGTATTTTGAATACATGATGTCCAACCGTCCTTTCGGACTTAGTCATAAAAGTCATTCATGAGAAGTTGTATTTTAGAAATGCCTTTTTTTTTTTCTTTGAGAACTTTTCTCAAAAGATTTCCTTTACCAATCGTTTGAAACATTATAATTTGATTTAGAATACTACAGATATAAGTGCAAAGTATAACAATATATCAAGATAACATAATAAGCTTTGAAAAATACATGCATACTAGTAATTTCAAGCAACTTATTAACGCTTTGTTCACATATTTATAGTTTATCCCATTTAAGCGAGAATAAAACGATTCAAAGACCCTAAAAATCAAAAAGTGATTAAGCACGCTTTGACTTGTCTTAACACTTAATATTTTATTGTAAGCAATCCAATTACTAATAGCTCTAAGATATTTTTAGTTCAATAAAACGTCGCATCTAATGCTTCCTTGACGTTTATATCCATTGCCACGGCATCTAAGGACTCCTTACCGATATCGTTGAGTTTAACCAAAACTAACGCGTATACCTAGTATACCTTAAGTCCCTAGGAAAGTAGTAATGCCTTGCTTCGGCATAGCTCATTACTATTCTCATTACACTAGTAGAAAAAATTAAAAAGGCACCCCCTTTTTCGCACCGGTTCTTAAAAACCGGTGGGAAAAGAAATGGGTGGGATTTGGATATATACTTTTTGCACCGGTTCCTTATAAACCGGTGTCAAATCTTGGTTTTCGCACCGGTTTGAACCGGTGCTAAATTTAAAAAAAAAAAATAGGAAAAAGGTATTTCGCACTAGTTCAGCCCAAACCGGTGGGAAAACTTTATTTACAACCGGTTCGAATCGGTGCGAAATTAAACAAAAAAACAAGCTTAATCGTGAAATTCTTCTTCTTCCTTCAGTTTTCATTCCCCTGCTAGCTTTTCCAATTCTTCCTTCTCTCGTTGTCGCCTACCTTCACCATTGCTCTCCTTCACGCATAGCTCTGAATTTTCACCATAGTTGTCCTCCATTGAAGCGCATTCTGGGCTTTCGCACCTCCATTGCCGCGCAACTCCTCTCTTTCTCTCCATAGCTCTCCTCCATTGAAGCGCATTCTGCTGAGCTTTCTCACCTCCATTGAAGCGCATTCTGAGCTTTCCAACTCCATTATAGCAGCTTCGAGGTAAGATTTATTTCGTGGTCTTCCTAATTTATTGAATACCTTCGCAATCTATGGTTACTCGTTGATTTAGGGTTTTCTGTTCATTGTGGTTTGCTGTTGTGACTTTAATTTCGAGTTGTGCATTCAACAATAGTACATTGTTTTAGGGTTTTCTGTTCTTTGTGGTTTTCTTTGAGATTTTGGGTGGATTCTGTTGTAACAGTTGGTGGAATTGGTGGAATTTTGCTACCATAACTAAAATTATCGAGTGTGCATCATGTGACACACTAACATAACTCACAGGTAATAGTGAGTTTTGCTTGATTTATTATCCTAATTATATTTGCACAAGTTAGGGTTCTTGTTCTTTAAATTTTCTGGATTTTCGGTTTTATTGTCACTGTTAGTTTAGTCTCGCTCCTCCCAATTTCGTTTTTAAGGGTTTAATTTTTCTGGGTTTCGTTTATTTCATCTCATCTTTTTCTGGGTGAATTCTAGTAAAATATGTTTTGATAATTGGATTTATATATTTACTGTTGCAATTCTTGTTTTTTGTTTGGGTTTTGTTTGTTTTAGCTCATATTTGCTGCAGTTTTTGCTGGGTGAAATTTATAGGATTGGAACTATATAAGTATGGAAGCTTTATTCATTGATTAATTAGGGAGGATAGGAGAAAACAGAGCTGATTACAAGATTTGATGTCCTGTCTATCTCGGTTGGTGGAGATGCTTGAGATTATTTCAGTGATGCAATCGCCATTGGATCCTTTCATGCTACTCAAAGTGGTATCGTCGTGGTTTGTTCTGCTGGTAATTCTGGTCCTGATGTAGCGTCTGGTTCAAATGTTGCACCATGGATTGTTACTGTTGGAGCAAGTACTATGGATAGGGAGTTTCAAGCTTTTGCTGAGCTTCGAAATGGGCAGAGATTTAAGGTATCAGTTTGCAACTTTAACAAATTATATTAGCTAATCATTCTTATGATCTTAGAAGATTGTCTGTTTTTCTCAAAGTTTTATACTGTATTCAGGGTTCGAGCTTATCAAAACCTTTGCCAGATGACAAGCTTTATCCACTCATATCTAGTGCTCAGGCGAAAACTGCCAATGCATCTACTGCAGACGTGTAAGTTTAACCCTTTCTTTACCATCAAAGCTTGTTCTAACTGTGATATGTTGTAAACCTGATATTAGTCTATTTCTGCAGTATGCTCTGCCTGGCAGGCACATTGGATAAAACTAAAGTACAAGGAAAAATCGTGGCATGTCTTCGTGGTGGTAATGCAAGAGTGGAGAAAGGCGTGCAAGCATTACTTGCTGGAGCTGCAGGGATGATCCTTTGCAATGACAAAGATAGCGACAATGAGATTATAGCTGATCTTCATGTCCTTCCAGCAACACAACTAACCTATACAGATGGGGCTGCTGTTTTGGCCTATATCAATTCAACTGCGTACGTATTTAATTGTTTGTTCATTTATTTCCTATTGCTACAAAATCATCCAATTTAATTCTTTAGCTAATCCAAATGTAAAAATTTGTTGACAGTGAGCCTTATGGTTACATCACTCATCCAGCAGTTGTTCTAAATACCAAGCCAGCTCCTTATATGGCTGCCTTTTCATCCAGAGGTCCAAATCTTGTTACACCTGAGATTTTAAAAGTAAGTTGTCGTCATTTAAAATCTTCAGTCTGATTGAAATTGGACATATGCATAGTAATTTAAATCCTCGGTTTTAGTTTTACTTTTGGTTGAAATGTTACTTGGACTCGGGTATAGGTGTCTAACAATGACACGAGTTTTTAGTGCCATACACCATTTGATATGCCATGTATTCTTTTAATATAAATTAAAGTGTCAAGTATTCAATTTTCATACCCATATCAAAGTGTCGAAGAAGTAATGATGTTCTTGTGCTCTGTAGCCTGATATCACAGCATCAGGAGTGAATGTCTTAGCTGCATACTCTGAAGCAGTTAGTCCAACAAGAGAACCATGGGATAAGCATAAAGTTTCCTTTATGTTAGACTCGGGTACTTCTATGTCTTGCCCTCATATATCTGGGATTGCTGGCCTTCTCAAAACTACAGCAAACAGAGCTAAAAAATCAAAAGCTTTATTCATTGGTTTTCCTGTCTGTGTTGCTGTGAGCTGTTGTTTCTGCTACAGTGCTGTGTCTGCTGTGCTGTGATGTCGAGTTTTACTGGGTTGATGTGATGCGCTGCTGTGTTGGTGTTGCTGTCTGTTTCCTTTTGCAGTGCTGTGTTGCTAGTTTCTGGGGTGTTGTGCTGCTTAGTTGTAGCGCTATGTTTTATTATTTTTGTAGCCTGTTGAGCTGCTTAGTTCAATGTTTATATGCTTCATTAGAACAGGTTTTGGGAGTATTAGAAGTAAATTTTTGTAACTCTATATATATGTTAGTGTTTATATATCATTTTAAGTGAAAAAAATGTAAAAAACATAAATAAAAAAAAAAATTATTTTTTTTGGGCATTTTTGGCACCAGTTTTTGTACAGAACCGATGCTAAAAAAAATTTAATTTTTTTGGTGACTTTTGGCATCGGTTCTAAGACAAAACCGGTGCAAAAAGTCTGATTTCGCACCGGTTACAAACCGGTGCGAAATGTATGGGGTTTTAGCACCCCCCAAATCCGGAACAGTTCAAAACCGGTGCGCAAAGGGCGGTTTGAACCGGTGCTAAAGACCTTTATTCGCGTATTGTTAGTTCGGTAAGTGTTATTTTGGAATGACAAATTTTAACTCAATTTTATATTGACCTAGGCTTTCTTTGTTGGTTGATTTAAGTGAACTAAATTAATCATTCAACATTTGAAATCCTAAACAATCATCTAATTTCGCAATTATATATTAGAAAAATATATAAGGCATAAATAAAGATGCATTGGCAAACTAGCATGAGTCCCTTGAAACTTAAAGCATCCAATCTTCAAAGGCCTTCATTGCGTTTTCTTGGCTTTGTCTTCTTAGAAACGCCGTCTTTGAGACATCACCACCAATTATGCAACTACTAGAAAAACTAGGACTAATTTAAATAATTTTAAGTACAGAAATGCTTAACGGCATGTAGTCCGTATTTAGATTTACAAAAATACAAAACGGAACGCAATTCATATTTACTATCCTAGTCAGGCCATACTAGTTGCCATTTTGTAACACCTGCATTAGAACATCTACAATATTCCATTCATCCATTTACTTCTAAAGTGAATGGCCCCAAGCATTTTACAAATAATTCAAGCAACAATAAAAACCAATGTATCAAAACGAGCGCATACTAATTACTAACTTAGGTGGTTAATCCGATTGACACACCTAATTAAAACTAGTCAAGAGTTTATCCAATTATGTGAACTAACCCAATAACAAAAGAACAATCAAGGCTAAATTAAGCTCAAAGAGATTAATGAAGCTCCCACTAAATTCCACATCAAACTTAATTAAGATTAATCCAATTAAAATTAATTAAGCCGATCAAACAAAATTATGTCAAAAATATATGCAAGTATATGGAAAAACCGAGGCCTAGCCTCGTTTTAACAAAAAAAATGCAAAATCAAAACCGAGGAAAAATAATGGCTAAACCTAAACCAACCCTTTAGCACTATGCTAAGGCCATGGGCTTGCCATGCCTAGCAGCCCAGCCGCTCGTATGCATGCAAGTGCTGGGTGCTGCCTAGCAACCCCGACCTTGCGTGCCGAGCTGCTTTGCAACTAGCTCGCACATGGCGCGCGTGCACGCTGCTGCTGCTGCTGTCACGCCATGATGCCATCTTCGTCAACCCACCCCGCACCAAGCAGCCACACAATACGCACACACGCACACTCACCTTGCTCAGCAGCAACATGCTGGGCTGCGAGCAGTCCATGCTAGTTGAGCTTGGTGCTCGAAGCTTAAAGCTTTGATTTTGTGCTTGTGCTTCCGGATTTATTTTGAATTTTTTGTGTGACTCTAAATTAATTATTCTAAATTGGATTTTAAAGTAATATTTGAGAAATTTTGAAATTAAAACAAGTCTAACTTAATTAAATTCAATTTAATGCACAAACCAAAATTAATTTCAAGAACCATTCTTTTGATAATTTTGGCTCAACTTGATGCAATAAAATGAGGGTTTATCTCATAATTAATTTAACCAACATAAATTAATTATGAGATTTGACAAAATTAGTTGAATAAATAATCAATCATCCAATGAAATAATTTATCCAACACTTACTCATGCACATTCGTATATTCAAGCACAAGTATGAGCATTCATGATTTTAATCAACTTCCAAAATGATTAAAACCAAAATTTGTTCATTATGGATTTTAGCAAGTTAAGATTCAACCATTTAAACCATTAAAGATTGAATCTTTAACAATTTTAAGGGCTTCAAAAATCATATATATTCACCATAAACTTTCACACTACAAGCAATTTATTTGCAAGAATGAGGAATTCCAAGTTTATGAGAAATTAAGAGCTATCCAAATTAAGCAACCAATTTACCCCATAAACATGCTTAATAAGGAGTGAAATCGCAGAAGATTAATGGTATAATCAAACACATAATCCAACAATTGCACGCCATAATTAATCAAGGTTTAAAGATTTAAAAATTTTCGTTCCAAATGAAAAACCACTAGAAAAACCACTTTCTAGGTGGATTTTAGTTTCTAGAAGGTCATTTTTAATCACTTTGTAGGTGAAAATGATTTAGAACATCAATTCCACCCAAAAAAAAAACACTATTTTGGGTCAAAACCTGGGTTTGTAGTATAAAATTAGCAAAAATACAATTTTAATCCAATTAAAAACAAGGTCCTAATCTAATTAGGTTGCTAATCTAGAAATTTAAATCCATTTAAATCACCTTATTTAATTTTTAGTTGAACTCAATAAGGTATCTCTCAAAAGTGAGAAAGCCTTTAAGTTCATAATACTCTAGTTTATTTTGGTCTAGCCTCGTCTAAGCTACAAGGTAGGGGCTGGTTAGGCTTGAGGGTGTGAGACGAAGGAGGACTTGCACTTGCGGGTCTAGGACTTTCCGTGTTCGTGCTCGGGGTTCGTGACAAGCACACGTCAAGGGTGAGCAAGTCTTATCCTTACTTTTCTTGTTGGGTTTTGTGGTGTTCGACACCGTGCGGAAACAAAACCCGTAAAAGGATCACATACATAATAATTACAACATAACAACATAACATGCAATTAAAGAAAGCATAAACACACAAAGAGAAGAGAGAGAAAGTAAGGATAAGATTAACTCACCCTTGACGCGTGCTTCGCTCGTATCACGAGCTCGGACTTGGAAAACCTCGAGACTCGCAAGTGCAAGCCCTCCAACATCTCACACCCTCGTGCACAAACCGGCCCCTACCTCGTAGCTTAGACGGGGCTAGACCAAATAAAGCTAGAGTATTACGAACTTAAGGCCTTCTAACTCTTTTGGGAGATACCTTTATAGTTCAACTCTTGTAAAGAATTCACAAGGTCCTTGGGTATTTATAGGAGAAGCATCTCCATCCCCTTGATATTCTATCAATCTAGGACTTTTGCAAAGTTGAGGACTTGCACTTGCGAGTCTCGAGGTTTTCCAAATCCGAGCTCGTGATACGAGCGAAGCACGCCTCAAGGGTGAATTAATCTTATCCTTACTTTCCCTCTCTTCTCTTTATGTGTTTATGCTTTCTTTAATTGCATGCTATGTTGTTATGTTGTAATTATAATGCATGCGATCCTTTTGCGGGTTTTGTTTTTGCGCGGTGTCGGACACCGCAAAACCCAACAAAAGAAAGGATAAGACTTGCTCACCCTTGACGTGTTCTTCTCACAATCCCTGAGCACGAACACAGAAAGTCCTAGACCCGCAAGTGCAAGCCCTCCTTCGTCTCACACCCTCGAGCACGAACCGGCCCCTACTTAGTAGCTTAGACGAGGCTAGACCAAAATAAACTAGAGTATTACAACATAAAGGCTTTCTGACTTTTGGGAGATACCTTGTTGAGTTCAACTAAAAATTAATTAAGGTGATTTAAAATAGATTTAAATTTTTAGATTAGCAACCAAATTAGATTAGGACCTCGCTTTTAATTGGATTAAAATCGTATTATTGCTAATTTTTACTACAAACCCAGATTTTGACCCAAAAATAGTGTTTTTTTTGGGTGGAATGGATGTTTTAAATCATACTTAACCCACGATAGGTTAAAAATGGCCTTCTAGAAGCCAAAATCCACCCAGAAAGTGGTTTTTCAAGGGTTTTTCATTTGGAATGAAAATTTTTAAATCCTTAGACCTTGATTAATTATGACATGGAATTGTTGGATTATGTGTTTGATTATACCATTAATTTTCTGCAATTTCATCTCGTATTAAGAATGTTTATAATGTAAATTGGTTGCTCAATTTGGAAAGCTCTTTATTTCACATAAACTTGGAATTTCTCATCCTTGCAAATAAATTGCTTGTAACTTGAAAGTTTATGTTGAAAATGATTTTTAAAACCCTTAAAATAGATAAAGATTCAATCTTTAATGGTTTAAATGGTTGAATCTTAACTTGCTAAAATCCAAAGTGAATAAATTTTGAGTTTTAATCATTTTGGAAGTTGATTAAAATCATGATTTTTCATACTTGTGCTTGAAATATTATTCTTCATATTGGAAGGTTGTAATATTCAAATATGCATGAGTAAGTGTTGGATAAATTATTTCATTGGATGATTGATTATTTATTCAACCATTTTGTGAAATCTCATTATTAATTTTATTTTGGTTAAATTAATTATGCGACAAGCCCTCAATTTTTATTGCATCAAGTAAAGCCAAAATTATTAAACGAATGGTTCTTGAATTAATTTTGGTTTGTGCACTAAAATTGAATTTAATTAAGTTAGACTTCTTTTAATTTCAAAATTTGCTCAAATATTATTTCTAAAATCTAATTTAGAATTAATTAAAAGTCACAAAAATTCGGTATGAAATTCTGAGGCACACAAAGTAAAATTGAAGCACAAAGCTTCGAGCACCAAGGCTCGGCTAGCAGGGCAGCTTGCACAGGCCGCATGTTGTTGCTGAGCCAGGTCCGTGGGTGTGTGCATGTCTGTGAGCAGATGCTGCCAAATGCGTGGGAGTGGTGCGGCAAGCAACAGCTTGCAAGCACTGCCAGGCAGCACCTAGCCCGCAAAGGCAAGGGCTGCTAGGCAGCGCGCAATGCGAGCGCTAGGAGGCATAGCAGCACGCTAGCTGCGCTAGTAGCGTGCACGCATGCGAAGCATGCTACGAGGCTGCTGGTGCCAGTAGGTGCCTTAGTGCGCTGCTAGCTGTGTTTGCCCGCATGCAAGTTTGGCTAGGGTGCCTAGCAACCCTAGCCCTTTGGCTTGGTTTCTAGGCACTTGGCCTTGGTTTAGGGCTTACGATTTTGCGGTTTTAGTTTAAATTGAGGCTAGGCCTCGGTTTTTCACGTACTTGCAAATTTTTGACAAAAATTATTTTGATCGGCTTAATTAATTTT